TATAATCCCATTTAATATCATTAACTATTGAAGTTGGTCTGATTTTAGTCTAGATAGGCTTTCTGTTTCTGCCAATCTTCTGCATGAATATTAGCAAGACTAAAAAATGACCACAAGCAGACACTTAAAGAAAAATAAGAACAGAACAAACATATGACACTTGCCTATCTTTTAACTCTTTCTAGCTCTCAGGGTCTACTGAACCTGATGCTTTTTATTTATTTACTAATCTGCAATCAATCTCTTTTACTAATGTTTATCAAGTCTCCCCTTATTGCCATGTAACTGTCTTGCCTCCTCACCACCCTTTGTCAATGAGCTCCCCAGTTCTGCTTCTCTTTTCATGAAGTACCACCCACATTTCTTTGTGTTTTGAACTTGGATCCCAGCAGCCTCATTTGATTACTTCAAGTCTAGTTACTCCAGAAGAAACAGGTTACACATAAACCATACTCAAGCTCTTCATGCCATTATTCATGATTAGACTTCTGTCATACTTTCCCTATAGTCCCTTTTCTAGGTGGAAGAGTGACAGCCCACTCAGTCACTCCTCAAACAGAGCTTTTGCTTACATTGATGATCCTCCTTGCTTTCTTCAAAGATCTTCCAGTTATAGTCTGAAGATGGGGTACCAGGACTGCAGATGGTACTCAATCTCCTAGCAAAGCCTTATATTTGATTTGGTATTTAGACTGCTACTGAGTGCTGAGATGACTTTTGATGGGCATATCTATTATAACTACATAGTCTCATTCCTGATTGGCAAGGACCAACTCAGAGCCTATCACTGTGAATGAAGCTCCATATCCATCACTTTATATTTGCATACACAGAATTTTATCTGCATTTTCATTGCACTGTCACCCAGCCTTGTGAGGTCCTTCTGCAACTCTTTACAGTCAGTCTTTTTCCTTACTACCCTGAAGAGCTTTGTGTCATCACCAAAGTTGATCACCTCACCTCTCACCTCCTCTGCCAAATAATTTATGAAAGTGTGGAATGGCACAAGTCTCAGGACAGATCCCATCTTAGTGACATGTCTCCACCAGAAAGTCTGCCCACTGTTTCCCACTTTTAACTATGCCAGGATCTTCCCTCTTATCCCATGGCTGTACAGTTTACTCCAGAGCCTTCTGGAAATCTAACCTAGCCAAATAGACTCATCATTATCATTGTGCTTGGTTGTCTCTTCAAATACATTAGTTTTCTAAAGCAAAACTTTTTTTAACAGAAATCATGTTGACTTTTCCCAAGGAAATTTTTCGCATTTATCAGGTATTCGTTGATTCAATTATTTGTTATATTGTCTATTAATTTGCCTAGTACAAATGTCAAATCTGCCAGACCACAGTTCCTTAGATATCCATATGGAAACTGTTTTAAAAAATGACAGCATGCTTGCTACTCTCCAGACTTCAGGCACCGATAGAAGTTTAAGTGAATTATACAGTGCCATAAGTAATTCCACTATTTCTCTTAAAAGTCATGAGTGTATACCACTCAGTTTTGGATATTTGTCAGCTTTCATTCTGTGTCTGCAACACAATTTCTGCCACAGTTATTTAATAGGATAAATTCTAGTCTGTCTTTTATTTAATTTCTTCTAATTCAATGACTCTCCAAATTATATTCTCTACTGGGATCTCTAATTCACTTCTAGGAAAATCATTATAATAAGCCAATGTCCTGGTTTTGGCTGGAATAAAGTTACTTTTCCTAGTAGCTGATATAGTATTGTGTTTTGGTACTGTGTTTTGGTTTTAGGATGAGAATAAAGTTGATAACACACTGACATTTTAGTTGTTGCTAAGCAGTGTTGGTACTAAGTCAAGGACTCTTCATCTTCTCATACTGCCCTGCCAGCAGAGGCTGGGGGTGCACAAGAAGCTGGGAGGGGACACAGCAAGGACAGCTGCCCAAGCCAAAGGGGTATTCCATGCCATATGGCATCATGCCCACTATATAAACTGAGGGGGAGTTGGTCCAGGGGGGTTCGTGGCTTGAGGAGTGGCTGGGCATCAGTCAGTGGGTGTTGATCAATTGTATTGTGCATCACTTGTATATATTACTGCTACTATTATTTTTATTATTATTATTATTATTATTATTATTATTATTATTATTATTATTATTATTATTATTGCTGATGCTGTTGCTGTTGCTGTTGCTGTTGCTGTTGTTGTTTTGTTGGTTTTTTTGTTGTTGTTATTATTATGATGGTGATTATTATTTTCCCTTCATTTTCTGTCCTATTAAACTGTCTTTATCTCAACCCATGAGTTTTAATTTTTTTTCCAATTCTCTTCCCCATGTCACTGGCAAGGGGAAAAGGGCAGAGTGAGTGAGTGGCTGTGTGTGTGCTTAATTGACAGCTGGGGTTAATCCATGACAACCAATTACAATAGGAAATATAAATTCAGTACTCAAAATTATTACATTTATACTTCTCACTGCTGATCCTTCTTCCTGCTGTTTCTTTTATACCTATATTACCCATGAATGCAGTTATGATCTCATATTCCATAGGCCCTATGGGCCTTTATGGAGATGTAGCTCAACTGATGTTAGCTTTGCACAACTTCTGCCTTCCTCAATCCTTCCTCCAAAAACAATCTCCCAAACTTACCCTAAACCTGATTGAATCAGAAAACTCTTTGGCTTATCTGTCATGCAACTGTTAAACTGTAGTAAATCAGACTAAGTGGGTGTCACAGAACTTCCCATCATGTTTGAGGAAATGTAGGACGACAGGTTTCTGGAGATCACAGACCCAGTCCTGGAGTAGCTGTATCTTTTACCAGGACACTCTGAATCCCAGAGTTCAGAAGGAAGCCATGTAATAACCTGTTTTCCCCTCAGCATCACTAAAAATGAAAATGTGTCCTTCCCTTCTTTTTGTGCAACTGGACCATTAGCCTCAATTTCTGACTGCTTCCCTCATCAGAATAGCAAAGATCATATTATGTCCATGAGCCAGGTGGCATGTCATGCTGTCCTGTTAAAAGAAGACAGCTTGTCCTAGTAGATAAGGATGTAGAATTAGGGAAGGTGCTGGCATGCAGGGATAAAATGGCTACAGGTCTCATAGGCACAAATGTGAAGCATGCAGGAAATTGTGATCGGTGATAATACAGCCTCACCACACATCAGTGCAGTATGGTTCCGTGCAAAATTATGTGTTTCTATGGGGTGACATTTTTATTCTGTAAGAATTTACAAGAGTGAAGATCAGGGCTAAGTTTGCAGCCTGACTAGAAATGCTTCTATCTCCATCATCCATTTACAATTCTGATGAGTGACCACCTACATGCAGCCTGAGAAAGACATGATGACCACTCCTCCCTTGGCAGTACTTCAGATCTTTGTTTCCTGCTGGATAAAATGGGCATCTTCACAGGAAAAACATGGGGTTTTTTGTAGGACTACTTTGTGTTTTACTTAATAAACAGAAAAGGGGGAGAGGTTGTGGTGATGGGGAAATAACAGGATTTTTATTATTGGATATGACTAGATCTGAATTGAAACCTGAACTTGACTAATTACAATTGATCTTTTTTGGCTGAACAGAAGATGATTTGTCTGATATTATTACCTATAACATACCTGGACATAATGCATCCACATGTAAAATGCTTTGGCAGTTGTGACCAACCTCATTTCTACATGTTGCTGCAGTGCTTGCAGTGATAATGTCCATAATGATGGGAACCAAGACACGTTTTGGTTCCTCAGTGGTATTTGTGCCATTCACTCTAATGCAGTTTTTTCACTCAGTAAGTTTCCTCTTTCCTTCAAAACAGGAGACAAGAATCATCTGGACTAAAAGAAAGGGGAAGAGGTGAAGTAAGTAGGCAAGTGGGGTCAGGCTGAGACTGTGGCTTGAAATACAGTAGCTGAGAGAACAAAGGCTTTGTAAGACAAACTAAAGGTGAGTGTGAACTCAGGTTTGAAAGTGAGAAAGTCCAGGGCTCAAGGAACTATAAAGACAGCCAAGGACCTTATATAATGATGTGCCAGGCTGTCATTAGATTGTCAGGTGTTTGGATGAGTGGCTGGGAGCAGACAAGCACATATACTCACTGATAACAGCGCTATCACAGTGTCAAGCTGGAAGAAAACAAGTGCTGTGTGTGAACCATTGCCCTTGCTTCATTCAGCAAGACACAGACCACTGCACCTAGTGAGGGAAACTGGGTCTGGCATTTTCCTTGACTGCTGTCTTATTGCCCTCTTTCAGGGTGATTATAAGGCAGACAGAATGCCTCCCTGGTGGATAAATTCTGTGTACATGGGCTTACCTTTGTGGCTGCCAAGTCAAGCAGCAAGCAAAAGGTGTGAGGAGTAATTTGGAGATTACCATTGTGCATTCCCAGATGTGGTGAGTTAGATGGAGCAAGCTAGCTCTCCTGAGAGGTGACAACACTTAGGGAAGTACCCAAGTCAGCTCAATTTTGCCTAGGTTTCCAACAAGAATCTGGGAGATGCAATAGCACCTCAGAGGTACCTTCACAAACATATTTTCTTGGACAAGTGCTGGAATAGAATTGTATAGAAATGGAGAAAGTCCTTTAAAATGCATCCATCCTTTGGTATCTGTAGGGCCATGAGGTGAGCAGGGAGGGGACTGAGGCAGCAACAGTAGGTATGATGAGACACCCACAGCCCCCCAGCACTATACTGATCTCTAGCCATGCGATCACCTCAATCTGATGCAAGGCTGAGCAGCCTTGGCCGCCCTGTCACAGAAGAGAAGGACCACCCCTGCAGGACTGGGAGGAGGAGGACATGCCAGGTGACCTTTGCATCTTTCTCTGTAGCAGGTGTTCACTGCAGTACTGCAGTAATCACCTCTGAGGAGGAAAAGGTGCGCTTCTGCAAGCGGCTCTGAACTGTCCTAAGGAAGCTGCACAGCTGTATTAATTCCACATCAGAGATTTCAAATGAACTTAATGAAGTCCGAGAGTGCAACCAGTCTTTTTGACATAAAAAACATACCACACTTTGAAAAATACTGATTTTATTCATATGTCTAGCCTACTGAACAGTGGATGACACTGGTAGGAACAATCACAAATATCTAGTTACATGGTTTCATCAAGTTCTGGCCTGTGCAATGTTGGATTTGAGTCAAGCACTATTATGGCATCACCAAAAAGGACAATGATTGCTGTTCCAAGCTCAGTTGAGTCCCACTTCCTTGGTCAACTTTCAAGACCAGTAAACTCTCCTCCCACCGTGTGTGGGATTCTCTGCAAAGAACTTGTATTCTCAAAGTCTGAATACAGCAAACAGCCTGAAGTGCAGGCTCCATCTAAAAATTCTGTTTACCTCATGGACTTTATTTGAAAGCCCTCAGGTTTCCAGTGCGACAAATAAACAAAAAACCCTACCATTGACAATTTATCAGAAATGTTGGACCAGACTTGTAAAAAATCAGCCTAGCTCCAATAAGGGAGCTGGAATTACTTATCTCACCAGATGATCTGGCCTGAAAATCCCAACTGCCATCCTTGAAATAATGTATCACAGCAAGGTTTCACAGCAAAAGCAGAGTGATCCTGTAACTAACATCCCTGCTGTCTGTGAGGGCACACAGTGTGGTCTGAAGTCTCTGATCTGCATACTGTGTATCTGAAAGGTATCCATAGACTTACTTCTGCAGCATATTCCCACCTTTCTAAAGGCAGCCTGCACTTAGGCTGACTCTGAAGACAACTGCCCTTGCAAGAAGGGTCAGCCACACTCATGGTCAGCCACACTGCCTTGCCACACAGATCAGGATGCACAGTGACTCAGAGAAGTCCCACGCTGCAAGCTGGCCTGCACTAAGATGTAGAGTAGGTCTCTGTATTGTTATGACCATGGAGTGAATGCTGTCTCCTAAGAACTGTGGGCTCACATCCACGCTGAGGACTACTGAGCAGACCTACTCCAAAAGCATCTTTGGAGCTGGCGCCTCGGGGTTTCTTTAAGCCCAGTCTTATAATCCTGTTTGAGTCACAAGTAGTCAGGAAGTCACAGCTCATCAGAGGATCAGACCCTCTGCCAGCAGCCATGAGGAGGTATCACAGTCCTAGCCTGTTACAGGTGCCAAGAGCTGCAAAATTAGAGTGAGCTGCCTTCTTCGTCTTTTCCCTCATGTGTTGGCTGTGAGGGCTGCTAGACAGGCTAAAAGTCACTCATGAAAATGTAGAGGGTGTTATTGCTAAAGTCCTAGGGAAGCTGGATGCCCAGCATCCGTAAGAGTACCTTCTGAAAATCCTAGTCATACTCAGGGTATCCTTCACTTCACTCTTCCTCTCCATCTCTCCCCTCCCAGAATCAATTCTTTCTACCCACTCTCCTATGCAGAGATCTGGCAACACACTCAGGGTGGATCCACCTTTGGTTATGGACATTTGGCTGTGTGACTGACCTTTGCTGCTGCCAAAGGGAGGGGATTCCAGGCCAGAGCATCCCTCTCTGCCCTTCGCTTTTCAGTGCTAATTGGGTCTTCTATCAGTTCCAGCACAGCATGGACTTGTGGAGCTTGAAAAGCAAGTTTTTTATCACAACGGTGTAATGGGAGAAGACTTCAGAGCATTTTCTGAGAACACTGCATACAATTATATTACATTTTCAAAACTGTCTGGCTATTGTGCCTTCTAAAACACATGAAAGACTACGAACAGTGCTATTTCAGTGAGACGCTCTACAGCCACTGAAACTAAGTCACTACCTCCTTTAGAGCAGGCAATGGACTCATGTTCACAACAAGAATTGACTGTGTGTACGCTAAAGCAAGACACTTCATAGGTAAATGAGAATTATCCCTAGTTTGGGCCCACCCCTTAGATATCAGATATTATGCATGAACAGGATGATTAGTACTTGTAGAGCTATGTGAAACATCTACCATTTATCTGAGTTATGAAAACAGAGTTTTGAATAGCACAGTAATCCAAGGCCAAAAGACAGGCAGACAAATGGACAGACCTTGGCCATCTGTTTGATTCTCTCTCTTCTAAGGGCTGACCTTACGCATTTGCCAGGACTTGATACTCCACTTGAAAAAAAGGTTTAAAATAAGTTTTAACAACAGAGTCTTTTGGAGGTGCCCTGTGTCAATTTGCAGCTTCCCACAGGACTCGATGCTTGTCTGGGGCTTTTCAGCTCATAAACTGCTGCTCTTTAGCCACTGGCAATTGAATCCTGCTTTATTTAGTTTTCCCAGAAATGAAACACTTTTGACTCTTAATGGGATTCTCCCTGCCTCCTCCCTCCAACCCCTGTTCACATCTAGTTTCAGTTTCCTGGACATAAGAGTTTTAACCCTTTTTTAAAAAACAACAGCAACAAGAAAACCACAAAGCAAGGAAACCAGTTTTCTGTCCATAAATGTTGTATTCCCTGCACCCAGGGAAACTTCACCAACTCTACAGCAAGAAGATGCAACAACCTCTTGAAGCATCCGGACATCGCACCCTTGCAGCATCCAGAATCCAGCCTAGCAAGAAAAAAAGTGTTATGTGTTAAAAAAATGCCCAATACGACTGTGTTATTTTGCATGGATCACAGTTGAGACATGTCAACCTAAGGGTACATTTCTTAATGAGAATGTCTGAAGGGACTGAATTTGAGATACCCTGTCAACATAACTGCAGCTGGCTACAATGGAAAGTGCTACATTTCTTTGCTTACCTTGACGCCTAGTTGGATTTGATTTATGGAGGATTTTTTCTTACAGCTCCTGGGAATCTTACACATCTCTTCTTGCATGAGATGAAAGATAAATATTAGAAGGTTGCAAAGTTTGGTAGGATGCACTGCTGTGCTATGCTGCTCCAAGGACAGAGACCAAGGTCTGACCTTTACTGTAACTGGGACTTTGATAATGCCCATAGTCACTTTCTTGGTGTCTAGTTTTAAGTCATTTTAAGACAGATCTATATTTACAATTTGGCTTACACGCTTCTTTCTCCGTGCCAGGGTCAGAAAAGTCTATCTGAGTGAGAAAGGGAAATTGTAAGTGGGTTTTTTTTGTTTTTTTTTTTTTTTTTTTTTTAATCAGATCTGAAATTATTTGTTGAGGCAATGAATGGAAAATATGTTGGGTCTGCAAGGTCCATCTGTGCTGGTGACACATGAAACCTAAAGGGCTATTCATAAGTTATTAAAAATATCTGCAGTCCTTCACAACAAAAGAGAAAGAAAGAGAACACAGAAGTGACTGGAATAAATGTGGCAATTGGGCCTTCCTAAATTGGTCAAAGTCTGTTACAATCTGAACAGTCACATCACAATTCTTCAACTCAAGCCGTACTTACATTTCTTTTCCCTCTGTATGTCAACAGTGCAAAGCCTCAATTCTGCTAGTCTAACATACCCCTAGAAGTTACCTACTGCACTTTTCTTTACACAGGATGGCTTATGCGTTCTGTATTGGCTTATGTGATACTGTATTGTTCTGCCATATATTCAGATGGCTTATATGATACCGTATTGGGTTTGTGTGTCAGGGTTTCAGTAGGAGGGGAGCTACAGGGGCGGCTTCTGTGAGAAGCTGCTAGAAGCTTCCCCCATGTCTGATGCAGCCGGCTCCAAGGCAGCTCCAGTGCTGGCCAAGGCCAAGCCCATCAGTGACGGTGGTGGCACCTCTGGGGTAACATTTAAGAAGGGGGAGAAAAACCCTGCGCAACTGCAGCTAAAGAGAAGAGGGAGAATATGTGAGAGAAACAACTCTACAGAAACCAAGGTCAGTGCAGAAGGAGGGGGAGGAGGTGCTCCAGATGCCAGAGCACAGCTTCCCCTGCAGCCCCTGGTGAAGAGCACGGTGAGGCAGGCTGTGCCCCTGCAGCCCACGGAGGACCACGGTGGGGCAGAGCTCCACCTGCAGCCCTGGGAGGGCCCCCCCCCAGAGCAGGGGGATGTGCCCAAAGGAGGCTGTGACCCCGTGGGAAGCCCACGCTGGAGCAGGCTCCGGGCAGGACCTGTGGCCCCGTGGAGAGAGGAGCCCACGCTGGAGCAGGTTTGCTGGTGGGACTTGTGACCCCGTGGGGGGACCCACGCTGGGGCAGTTCATGAAGAATTGCAGCCCGCGGGAAGGACTCACGCTGGAGAAGTTCCTGGAGGACTGTCTCCTGTGGGAGCGACCCCACGCTGGAGCAGGGAAAAGGGTGAGGGGTCCTCCCCCTAAGGAGGAAGGAGCAGCAGAGACAAGGGGTGATGAACCGACTGCAACCCCCATTCCCTGTCCCCCTGTGCTACTTGCAAAGGGGTAAGAGACAGAAAACTGGTAGTGAAGTTGAGCCCGGGAAGAAGGGAGGGTTGGGGGGAAGGTGTTTTTTAAGATTTGGTTTTATTTCTCATTATCCTACTCTGATTTGCTTGGTAATAAATTAAACTAACTTACCCATGTGAAGTCAGTTTTGCCTGTGATGGTAATTGGTGAGTGATCTTGTCCTGCCCTTATCTTGACTCAGGAGCCTTTTGTTACATTTTCTCTCCCTTGTCCATCTGAGGAGGGGAGTGATATAGCAAATCTGGTGGGCACCTGGTGTCCAGCCCATCACAGATATCTGGTTAGGACGTGATATTAAATTAATCATTTTAGGACTCCTGAGTCCTAAACAAAAGGTCCAGACTTAATTTAATTGCATGAGTATTTGACAGGGCTAGCCATGAGCTTAAAAAAGCTAATTGTGTACCTGCCTAAATGCATTACAAGGAATTTACATCGTTTATATTTTTACATAGTATTTTCTACCAAGACAATTCCTTTTTCCACTCAGTACAGGAATGTGAAAGCAGCTTATTCCACCATGATGACCATACACTTTCTAGCCGTCATACTTCTGCAACTCCTGCTGCTGCTTGACAATGGTTCAAGTAGCCAGAAAAAGAAGAGCAAGAACAGGCTATAGAAAGAGGATGCCAGTGAGAAAGCCCTGGGCCAGAAGGTTGGTTGCAACTTTGCTAAAGACCACAGGAGGAAAAAGAAAGAAGTGGGAGAGACATCAGAGACGGGACAAAGCCTACAAAGTGAACAAGATTTATCAAGAATTCTATCTAGATTCAGAAAGGAGGAAATGGCAGTGGTATATAAAATACATCAATATGCATGCTTATATAAATATTAATATATATAAACATTCACACTCACACAGAAGCTACATATTTAAGCAACGATTTATGTAACAACGTGTAAAATATTACAAGCAAGGATTTGTAAAATACGTTTGCTCTTCAAAAAGTTTTCTAAGAAAAAGCCAGATATACCAACAAAATGTACATCTGCTTGATTTGAGTTCAACAAAATTGTGAGAAATCTCTGATTTGCAGGCTAAACTTATGCTAATCTTGAAAGCAAAATTCCCTCACTGAATTTTCTTTCATGTAAGCTTTTTCCTGCATATTTACATGTTGGAGATGGAAGCTTTTAATCCAGGGGTTACAGAGCATGAATAAGGCTAGCTCATAGTTTTCCAAAAATTCAGTGCAAGAATAAATGGATACTAGTGATTGCTTGGAGTTTGACAAGCCAGAGACCCCATCAAGCAATCCACAGGCAGAGACAGATGTCTGCAACAGCTGCGTGAATTGAACCTATGAAAAACCACTGGATTTTCCTCCAGAGTGAACAATCACAGTGGGTTTTGTTCGTCTGATTCTCCCCTTATACTGATGTATCTGATATGGCTCTACCCCAAAGTCATTAAAGACATTCCACGGGAAAAGAGTAGAGGATGAGAGTCTACATATTCAGTATTTGATATCTAGGGTCTCCTTTTATCCACCGTGTACATTAATAACCCAACAACTGCTTAGAAGTTATAAAATATACTTCCTTATAGTTTGTTTCCTGATCTACAGAGAGAAAATCCCTGCTCCTTTGTGGTTTGTAAATTCATTTAGTAAAGCTCCTTAGGAGCAAACAAGACTCCTCTTGCACTGGAAGTACTGCTTGTTTAAGGTATGTAATGTAATCTGCCTGTCCAAAGTAAGGATTATGCAAAACTTAACAGCAATAGAAATGACCCCAATAAATAAAAATAAAGATGACATAAATAGGTTTTTGAGTTTAGCATGAAAAATTTTCCTGTAGTATTTGCAATTCCAAAAGGCCAAACCTAAATTTTTCTGGACCACCTTTCATCAAATGTTTTATAAACAAAGTAACCACAGGGATCAAACACTACAACATTAAGCAGGTGCCTGAAAGCAGCTCAGAAATATAACTGATTACCACATAGTCATTCAACATTGAAAATATTGTGAAAAACCCAAACAGTATGGCCACAGGACAGCAGAACTGTAATTTTAAATCTTTCCAATAAGCGAGGGATTAGCTAGTATAATAGAGCAGTGAAGGACTGACATGAAACCAGGGGCCAAATCCAGGTTTGCAATAGTGTTTGAAAGCACCATTAAAATAATGATTACTATCACTCACACAGAGAATGTGATAGGAGAGATTTTGACTGGACCAGAAGAAGGCAGATGGACCAAAGAGTATTTTTCTATGCCTATAATACTATAAATGTGAAAGTAATAAAGTATCTAATAGGAACTGAAATGAAGTAAGGCAACTGTTGAAGTATAAGGTAGATGAAATACTAAAGTACTCTCTGCCAGCCTGTGATTTACTCATTACTTAGTTATTGCTTACTTACTTTTAAACACTATTTGAATATAAAGTACAAAACTAAACCAAGAATTTCCAAAGTGGCCAGTGACGTTAGATGCTTAGCTTGACACTCCAAAGGGACTGAATTTCAAAATGCAGAATGCAGGTCTTGTGCAGGCATCCAGAAACAAAACCTACTAAGTTGCTGCCATTTTTAAAAAGATGGGCCTTATATATGTGTAGAGGGATGCAAAGGATTAATTTTGGGGACCCACCTCTCTATCCCCTATTGCCCTTTATTTTGACAGCCTGATACTGATGCCCAAATTCATAGTAAATAGGTCCTAACTCCTCAGTGAGGCTTTCTGAAAGTAGTGACAAGGAAAAATGGACTGTGCTCTGGAATGGGAATCTACACTCACCTGTGCAATTTTTCAACCCCATTTCAGACACTTCCTACATTTATGATTGGAAATCATGCAATATTCTTAACCTTTAAAAAAAATCTGCTGCCTCCTGCTACCATGCAAGACGCTTGAATCCTGATCAATGATGACAGATGCAATCCCATTGTATGTGTAAGTAAGAGGGATATCTACACATAGGAACAACTACTGGCAGGTTAGCTGAGAATAATTTAAAGCTTTGAGTGTCGCTGTCATAGCTGAAAACACTGGGGATATCAAAAATGTAGGGGAAGCTACTTCAAATGGATGTAACTCCACTGAAGCAAGTTTTACTTGGTTCCATTATGATAAAAGAGACACATGTGGCATCCAGGCTATTATCCTGTGGAAGGATAAGAGAGAGGTGATTAAACAAACCAGATCCAATGTACTTATAGTATCCATCTTAAAACAGAAGCAATAAAGAGCAGCAGA